CTTCGTCAGGTCGTTCAGAGGTCGTGCTATTTTGGCAAAATTCCGGATAAAGCGTCGGTAGAAGTTTGCAAATCCCAAGAACCCTCGTAGTTCCCGAAGGTTAGTAGGGACTGGCCAGTCACGAACAGCCGCTACTTTTACCAGATCCATTCTCACCTCCCCTTCTGAGATGATGAGTCCGAGGTATTCAATCTGTTGTTGTTCAAATTCGCATTTTTCGGGTCGTAGGTAGAGGTCGTGCTTTTCTAACCGGGTTAATACTTCCCGTACCATTCGTCGGTGTTCCTCGAGATCGTTACTGAAGATAAGGATGTCATCTAGGTAGACTGCCACCTTGCCGGCTGCAATGAGATCAGCAAATATAGCATTCATAAGTGCTTGGAACGTGGCAGGGGAATTTGTGAGACCAAAGAACATGACCTTAGGCTCGAACAAGCCTCGGGTTGTTGCGAACGCGCCTTTCCATTCATGCCCCTTCTTAATCTGTATGTTATTGTAACCCCAGCGGACATCAAACTTCGTGAAGTATCTGGCTCCCTGAAGTCGGCTAATGATGTCAGCAACTAATGGGAGAGGGTATCGGTTCTTCACAGTGTACTCGTTCAGTTTCCGGTAGTCTTGTACGAAACGGAGTTTCCCATCCTTCTTCTTTACGAAGAAGACCAGTGATGAGATTGGTGATTTTGAGGGGACGATATAGCCTTTCCGTAGGTTTTCTTCTAGGAAACGATCCAACTCCTCCTGCTCGTTTAGGGACATGGGATAAATCTTGGTACGCATGGTTGCCGGTGCTCCAGGTACGAGATCAATCGCATGGTCCCAAGGTTGGTGGGCAGGTAATCGTTCGGAGGCGGATTCTGAGAAAACCTTCTTGAAATCACGATACTGCTCAGGGACCATTTCTTCGAAGGTTTTAACGGGTTTGTCTCGGTTGGCTTCCTCTGCTAGCTGCTGGGAGTAAGTGAATCCTGCGGCGCACCAGACTTCCTCCGTCTGTTCCTCTGGAATTCCTGCTTTTACCCATGCCCGGCGAGTTTTATGATTGGCTCGAATTCAGTGTATTGGTGGTTCTTCCACCGCTGCTGATTCACTCGGTTCAAGGGTCGCTTCTAGTGGCTCCTCAATGTGGGGGTTTTCTGCGGGAGGTTCCAGTTCCGGGAGTTCGAGGATCGGGGTTTCTGTGTGAGTGGCGGCTAGATGAGAGTACAAGATCTCCTCGTCTGGGACTTCTTCTATCGTTACTCGAGGAGGCTTTACTGAAAGTCGTCCTTTCTCCCAATCAATCTCCGGATTTACCTTCCGTAGCCAGGGGAGTCCAAGGATGATGTCTTCACCTCCTAGGTTGGTGATCAGAAAGTCCATCCATCGCTCTTGATTATCCACTGTGAGTGCTAGACGTGCAAAATGGGTTATCCGCCCAGCTCGGTTAGGTGTTCCATCGATATTAAAAACGTCGATTGGTTTATGGAGGGGTGCACATCTTATATGGTTCCGGGTGACAAAGTCTTGGTTTAAAAACAGGGCGGTAGCTCCACAGTCTACCATGGCTGCAGTTGTTATACTGTGATTCCTTCCTCTTAGTCTCACATGAATTCGGAAATGTGGGGAAGTAGAGTTTAATTCCCGGATCGACGATATTGTACATGATGGGTGCGAGTCATACAAGGAAGTAGCGAACATAACAAACTGATTCCGGGGTACTCTCGGTGCAGCCGAAGCGGGTACCCTCTTTAAAAACCCTGTTGAAAGCCAGAGGACGAGGAGGACATAACGTTAGCACGATCAAGTAATTCCCTTATTTGACCAATCTGATTGGAAAAGTCCTGGTTAGGGGGGCTTGGAGTAGCAGCTACGGGTGCAGGAGCAGATGTTGGGGTCGAGGACGCGATTTGGACGGATTCGTTTGGGAATAGGGAGAATGGCGCGGGTCCCGTAGCGGATATCTGTTGGCGTCGAGGTTGCTGGCGTCGGCCTCGGTCTCGTCCGAGTCCCATGAATTTGTCTTGGCAGACTGCTTCCAGATGTCCTCGACGTCCACAGTAGCGGCAGGTGGTTTCTCGGTGTGGGCAGTTTTGCTTGACATGACCTTGGGCACTGCAGCCGAAGCATCGTCCTCTCATGCGAGCTAGGAATGCTTCCCTAGTATTCCCATTACTGGTGTGGGTTGCATCAATGTCCATAGCGTGGGGGTCAGCAGGGGTAGTATGAGCGGTATGCGTGGGAGGGTATCCAGAGTTCCGGCCAGTCATGGTGGGATCGTGCAGGTAGACATCCACCGATATGGCCCGTTTGATTGCCTCCTTCAGAGTCGGAGCAATTCCTTGGGCAATGTTTACGGTGATGAGGTGTTGTCGGATCTCTGGGAGTAATGCAGTGAAGAAACGTTCCCGCAAGTCAATATCAGACATTTCAGTCCGATCTCCGATATCCTTGAACTTCTGAGCGAATTCCGCAACTGTCTGTCCTTTACTTTGCCTGAGATTCTTGATCTCGCTACGGGCTTCCATACCTGGGTCCATTGGTTCAAACCGTTGGCTAAATTCCTTCAGAAACGCCTCCCAATTTCCTCCGAAAGGGGGATTTTCCGCATTGAAATGTAGCAGATGGGGAGTTGCCCAATCTCCGGCACTTTCTGTGAAGAATCCCAAGGCGGACTTGATGAGTTTTACTTGGCTTTTGTCGAGATCCGGTTGTTCTGACGCCCAATTCTGGAACTGAGCCATGAAGCGACGGGCTTCAGCGCCATCTTTACCCTTGAAAACCTCGGGTTTGTTCATGCTTGACTTAGAGGATGAGCATTCCTCCATAGCTGTAGCAAGGTTAGCTACTTGTCTGATGAGCTGAGCCATGAGATCCTCCGCAGAGGTGTTTGGGGCAGGCGGGATAGGAGTCGACATGATGGGAGTAGGCAATCGAGGTTGGGGAATCGGCAGGAAGGTTATATTGCTCACAGTGAGTGGCTCTCGGATTGAGTTCGAAAGGGCGTTGGGGCAAGGTTGAGACTGGCAATCGCGCCAAGTATCGTCGTTGTTATGGGCGTGAGCTTGGTCTCTGGGGTCAAGTGCGTGCGGGAGTGCGGAGCAGTCTATACTGGCAACAGGTGTTTCAGAGTCGGGCGGAACTGGGGAAGACGTGGTGTCTATAGACCCTGCAAGGACAACCTTATCGGTAGGCTGTCAGTGCAGTAATGGATCTTGACCTAATGTCACGAAGCGGCAGAGGCGGAGTGACTAACGGAGCGGGAAAGCGGAGCGACTAAGCAGAACGGTGAGGCGGAGCAACTGGACAAGGCAACAAGGCGGAGTGACTAAGCAGAACGGCGGCAGGCTGGTCCCAAATAATGACAGAGATATATTGAGTATCGTAGTCATAGGTAATAATAAGTAAGCACATACCTGGTCCCAGATAATGACAGAGAGGTCAAGATAAGGGACCAGGCTGTGGAGGGTTGGCTATATATACATAATCCGGTCTGCGAGAAACAACGATGTAATACTGTACAGTTTAGGAACAAGGAAGGTGGCGGAAGCCAATAGAAGGAGAAGATGGGTCAGGTGGATCAGTAATCGATGGGGGTTTGACAGTGATGGGATGATGTATCGTACAAGTAAAGGCGTCGAGACGGTGAGAAAAGGAAAATGATAGGGGCTGTGTACTTTATGACACTTCATAGGCAATGGTGTATTCACAGGACCACAGGAGATATCCTGTCAGCCACTTGACACACTCCCAGTGTATCCTGCCAGGGTGTAGTTGGTATCTTGCCAGTAGTCTGGCAGTGAAGGAGATATTAGCACAAGTATAGTCTGGCACCACAGGACCAATTCCACAAATTCACAATATGGCTTGTTCAACATGAACTGCAGAGTGGGTGCTTCACAGAGTCTGACATTGGGAGGCAGGGGTGTATGGCGGTGCCGCACATGTAGGAGCTGGAAGTGCTCAAGCCGTGGGACGATACCTTGTTCACCTCCCACCGTTTTGCTAGGTCCTTCACTGCCCGTAGCCTCCCGTCCTCTGTAGACAATCCTCCGCAGACGTCATCTCCATATGTGCTAGTGAGTGTGTATTCATCACTGTCCCATCGGTAGCAGATGCATGGCTTGGCTCTGGACCTGATGTATCCATCTTCACTGTATCCAGCCACGAGGGTCTCTTGCCAGTCACAGCTACCTTGCATGGTGCCGTAGATTGACTTCCTAAGCTTACACACCTTGTCTTTGTCTCCTGGTTGGATGAACCCGTTCAGCTGTTGCATGTACACTTTGTGAGATATAGGTGAGTTGAGGAAAACAGCTGTGAAGTTGACTTGGAAGAGGGAGAGTAGCTATGATAGCCAACACAATCCATACTGACTCCATGTGCACGACTGCCCTGTAGGTTTTGTCATAATCTTGTCTCTGGATCTGGGTACATCCCTGCACTACCCAACGTGCTTTCCGCTTCAGTACCTCCCCTCCTAGTCCCCACTTTATAGCATATGTCCATCTCCCACTGGTGAGATCTGCATTCGGTGGTAAATGTACCAGCTCCCAACACCCTTTGCGATGAGGGTTTTGTACTCGGCTTTCATGGGTGGGAGCCAAATTTCTGGGGCCTTCATAGACTGTTTGAAGATAGATGGGACTCAGGTATTGTTCGTAGCTGACACAAAAGCCCATGGGTTAGTGGCAATGAGTGCAAGTGTTTGGTTGGCCGGCAGGGAATCCGTTGCCCAGTCCTTTTTATTGGCCTGATGTAAGACCTGGGTCAGAATAGGTCTTAGGGTAGGTTTTGGTATGAGGAGTTTACATTGTAGCATGCTAGGAGCAGGCTGGAGCTCTAAGAGTCAGTTTGATGTGCAGAGTCGCCCTGACTTTACTTGTGTCAGATTCCTGTATATAGAAATTGATCAGTTATGTAAACGTTATATAATTGTGACAGATTGTGACCATCCGCATCTCTTTATCGCATTCTGCAACTGGCGCGTCGTGTCCACTCATTTTCAACAATATTTTTACATGGGCAAGCCGAAAAAGGACCAGGTTGATTGGAAGAACTCACCTGGAGATGTAGAGGCACTGGTTAGGTTCTTACACAGCCAGAGATCACGGGTAGGACAAGGTGGTAATTTTGATAGCACTGTGTACAATAAGGCTGCAAAACACCTTGAAGCTCGTGGTCCTCCAAGCCATGGAGTGGCCAAGACTGCTGTTTCTATTAAGAAGTACTACAGCTCTACAGTATGTTCTCAATGGTTTTTTCTATCTTCTTTAGCTAATTAGGTTGATCATCGTATAGCTCCGAAAGCTTCACACAGATATCCTTGCAGTCCTTCAGAAAACCTATACTGGAGCTTCAGGATGGACTTACAGTCATGAAGGTGGCTTCAATGTTGTTTCTGCTACTGAGGATGCTTGGAGGAACTTCGTATCTGTTCACAAGCAGTTTAAACCTTTCAAAACAAGTGGATGGCCTCTCTGGGAGCTGATGCATGAGATCGTTCCGACTCAGGCCAGAGGAGTCCATGTCTTCAATGCTGCATCCCAGGATACAGCACAGGAAACTGGTGATTCACTATCCGAGCCGGAGTTAGACCCCTGTTTGCGTTCTGCTACTCCCTTACAGGATGT